CAGCACGGGTCCTCACTTTACGGTTTCCTTTCGTTTTACGGTTATTTCGTTAGCTTATACTCACCTAGCTGTTCATGTAAAATCTGTTTGGTTAAAACTACAAACGAAATACAATTTTTTTTCGCCTACACACTGACCCCTACCGGTCTTTTGATGTACTACAGGCTTCTTAGATATTATCGCATTTCATGTACAAACCAACGAACCACTGCATTTTCTCCTACATGCTGACCCCTACCGGTCAATTGGTATACTACAGGCTTCTCAGACTTAATTTCACTTCATAAGCAAACAAACTAACCACAGCATTTTCGCTGTATACTGACTCCTGTCAAACTGTATAATACAGGCTTTTCAGACATATGGTTATTACCCTCATAACATTCCCACTATAATTATGATTACACAATAACACTTCCTTACAACTCATGCTTGCTATGATATAAGCATTCCTGCATACATAGGCATTTAGTCACATTTGCTGACAATACGCATACATTTACCCAAGAATGCACATACTATTTAAAGCACTATGCAGGATTCCAGAGTCTAATACGGAATATTTGCATGCATAAAATATAAGTCCTTCCAATTACGTATTTTCACATATTAGGTTATTCAGCTGCCAGTCACGGTTCACTACACTCATGTTTCGGGGTACAGTAGTATTCCATATCACACATGATATAACACTCCCGACAAGTTAATTTCCTTCAAACAGGGGGATTACAAGCATACAATAAACATTGGGACGGAGCACTTTGCTCTGTTAAACTTGCATAACACACATATGGGTATACGCTTTTAAATGTCTATATTCAATTTTCATACATTGTTTTACCTGTCCGGGACACAGGTATTAATAACCCTTACGACCAGGAAGGGTATCTAATCATACTACAGGTACATACACCTGCTCATGTGGTATATACATACATTTTCTGTTTCCCCCTGGGTATATCCTTAGCGTACTGGCAATTAGGGACTATAGGGTTCCAATAGGTATTCTCCTTTCTTGGCATCTACGCCTGTCGTATAGTGGTCCCGCGAGGCCAACACCCCGCCTCAACGCTCGGAGGCAAACACCCATCGGGCCACTCGTGAGCTAGCCGCTTCGCCTGTCACTCCCTTCCCCTTATTTCTGGTTACAGTCACCGAGAGGCCAACATCCTGCCACTACGTTTGGTGGCCACAAAAATCCCCTCGCGCCATTGCATAGATAGAGCCTCTCAAGCCACTTGGCAACTAGCAGGGCCTCACCTGTCACCAAACAAAGGATTAATTGTTTCGCCATGCGGCTTTAGCTAGCAAGCCAGTACTAGCACACTGTGGGTTCATATAATAATGGCTATCTTCATGTTTTTAGTATGTATCAAGCAGGTGGTAAGGATTTCTCTCTACCTAACACTCCAGCTAGAGTCAACACACTTTCACTTGGAGAAGATGTTGCTAGTCCCACACGACAATTTTGTCCCAACACAGCGGACGATCACGTTTCAGGCTCCAGGCTCTAGCACCTCTGGTAGTACGTAGAGAACTACCAGAGACAAATTGGGTCATCTCATTCTCTTTGGCAAATCCCAGATTTGCAACAATTTCCATGTTGGCACATGTAGTTTCAGTGCATGCAGACTGTTGCAGATATGTTCTCAATATGTCAGGGCACATGCAAAACCATGTGTCCCAATAAATGTACCCTGAACCTTACTTCACGTCTGTAAACATTATGCATTTCCAGTACTTTCTAACTCATCACCCTTCCAGACATTTAGTTGATTTCCTAATCTCCGATTTTAAAGGCCTTCTGTTCAGGTATTGCCATATACTTTTGGGGAAATCTAGAATGCCCTAACTTGCAGTCATCACAGCAGCATCCAACAGCTGGCATTACACTCATGGCCCAAGAAATGGCAGAAAGATTTCTACCTGGGCCTCTCCGATCTACACCATTTACAGCGTGGCGCAATCCCATTGGGATTGTCACAGGGAATCTTCCCTCACACTGTAACTGATCATAGACTTATCTGCACCTCACGCCTCGGCTACCCCAAGTCTCAACTCCCTCATACCCTCCGAGGAGTTTTCATTACAGTATGCCACCATTGTTCATACCATTACAACTATCACTCAAGCAGGGAGGGGAAGCCTGGTTAAGTAAAACTGATATCACAAACGCATTTCAGACTGCCACCATCCACCCTACACTGGCACTTACAGGGCATTTATGGGCAGCAGTTATATATTTCTCCTCCCGCTTAACTTTCGGGTCAAGAGCAGCCCACAATCTTCAATATATTCGTTGAACTCTTTGCTGGTTGTGGTTAAACATATCCAGATGCCCCACAGTCATACACTCCCGAGATGATTTCTTGTTGGTCAAAGGGAACGCCTTTCCCTCTAGAAGCTTCAAGGAAGCCATTAGTATGTCTGAACACTTGGGTGTCCCAGTATTCCCTAAGGTCACAGAAGACCCAGACACTATCGTTACATTCCTGGGCACACAACTTGACTCGGCATCCATACCAACAAGTTACCACGTGAGAAATAGGAACAGTCGCAACAACACCAATTACCACCTCCTGCTTGGTACTTGCAACCGCATGGAACTACAATCCCTACCAGGTTCCTTAAATTTTGCCATGCGCATCATACCGCAGGCCGCACTTTCATCTCAGACCACTTTGCTTTTTCCACACTCCCGAATGATGATCAGGGGCTGTCCCTAGACAACCAAGCCATGGCAGACCTACACATATGGTGGACTTTCTTAACCACACGTAATGGTAAACTATTGTGGCAGCTGCCGTGACAGCCGCCATGGCAGGGGGGTCATTTATGGTCAAGGTCATGGATTACATGAACCTCGCCAACATAGCCGGGCTCTGACAAAACTGGCCTTGTCCACCAGAACTCAACACGCTTGCTACAGGGTTTTCCACTTATACAATACGTTTCATGTCGGACCATCACTTAGATAGCTGGTTTGAGGTTTCACCACTTATGGCCTTCACCTCTTTTTGCCACCTTAAGTTAAAAATTCTCGCACAACACAGTTAAACTTATCTCACGGGCATTCAACACTATACGTATTTCTCCTTCCCAAACAACAAGGGTTCCTATCCTCCTACCCCATCCATACCTTACTTAGAGACATAGCCAAGCGGACGTTCCCGCTAAAACTAAATACTGGCCATAGACATACAATGTTCAAACCATGTCAGAACCACTCGACCATGCACTTCCGAGCCACGCACCAATGCAGTTATCAAAACTGCTACCTATCTAGCCTTTAACGGCTTTCTCAGGCCAAAAAATAACTCACTATCAGCGGCCAACATCATAAACAACAGTGCCTGTTGACCTCTTATCTTCTCAAACACACAGACCACTATGTCCAGTCCCTTCCTAAAACTAAGACGAGTCAGATGGGCAAGCCAGTGCATATAACCTACTACCTTACAAGCAATGCTGGGTGCCCGGTTAAGGTACTGGTTGCGTTCTTGGGCACGCCACCATACGCACCACTGAACCTTTACTGTCGCTGTATGATACTGTCCTTACCCCAGGTGAGTTCATGCACTAAATCCACCTACTCATTCACCGGGCTCGAACTAAACCCTAGCGACTAGTCAGGGCACTCCTTTAGGATAGGAGCAGCCTCCATGGCCTATAGCCAAGACATTCCCGCACACGTTAAGACATGGGGCCGCTGGGAATCATAGGCTTATGCGACTTACATACCACAGCCGATTCAGGAATTAGGAAGCTTTCATTAAAATGTCTACCTGATAGTTAACAAATGCACTATGATCCTGTATAATATTTTACATTAATATGTCTTTTTGCCTACTTTTTACCGGCCTACAGCATACGTCGGTTTCGGTACACCTCAACTGATTATTCCTAAAGCTACATCTCTACAACCCATCTTATTCTATATCATATAAGAATGCCCCGAACACTATATATTATCCAAGTATATATAATCTGATTTTAAACTGTATTTTATTTTGGTTTTTCCAGGTATCAGGGGGGAGTACCTGTCATTACAGGCACTCCCCATGCTGGCACTGACATGGAACGGCTATGCCATCCATGTGATCGCGATGTCCTCGCGATCACATGGCCCAGGGGGGCCGGAATGGAAGAAGGGGGACTTTCTGGGATGCCAGGTGAGTCCACGCACCGCGATCGCCAGAGTGGGATCGCCGGCGACCGGGTAAGTACAAAGGACTGTGGGGACGTGCTATGCCGCCCCCGGCATTTAGAACCAGATCCCCAAGGACGGCATAGCATGCCTGCCGTCCTTAAGGGGTTAAAGTGTTTATTGTGCCAATTTAAACACTGTAAATAAAAATATATATTATACTTGCTATATATGTAGTTCAACACGAGAGAAAAAAAAAAAAAGAAAGTGTAATACTGTATATACACCAAATATAAAAAGAATCAGGTATGTATTTAGCACACGTTGAGCAGGTAAGAGACATTTGCTGTAGAAAGACGGTGGACAGCCAGGATCCAATTGAACAATCTTTATTTCATTTAAAATCAACATAGCACGTCATAAAACCCCTTCGCCTCACCAGTCCCACAGATAAGCTTCCAAAAGTCCTCGGTGATACCAGTTGCTGGCACTCCCGGTATATTGTGCTCGTACCGGTAGGCGGAGTTAGTGACGTTCTCAATATGACGTGATTGCATAACTACGCACGGCCTGATGACGTGTTTCGCCACTACTGGCTTCCTTAGATCACATCCCTCGGCCAGTGTCCATCACTATTTAAAGTAGCCGCAGTGATAGTACTACCTGTACGAGCTGGATATATACATAAGCGCATATAGCCTGAGCAGTGTTGGTGATATTTTGCACAATATCATATTGTGACGGACCGCCTGGCACCCTGACTGGGTGCGTCCGCCAAGCGCAGCTTCCTAGTAGCCTGGACTACTATAAGCACCGCACCGGACACAATACGCAAAGTAGCCCCTTAGCCGCC